GGCCACGTGGACAGTGGACATGCGCCTGGGCGAATGGGAGGGACGACACGGAAAGCCGGGCACCTGCCCGTCTGTGCAGGGAATCCCGTGGACAGGCCGCAGGGCTGCCTCTCCGTGAGGCCGGGCTGGGTGGGCGGAGCTCCTGCCCCTCGGGGTGGGCAGAACCGGTTCTTCTGGGGGGAGGGGGGCCGGCGGACAGCGGGTGGAAGGAGGAGCCCAGGTGTTGAGGGTCCCAGGGAGTCCCCCCAGGACCCAGGTGCTGCAATAAAAACACACAGAAGCCCAGCCGTGTGCCTCAGCGGTTGAGCGACGACCTGCGATCCAGGAGGTCTCGTCCAGCTCCCCGTCAGGGCACATGCAGCTGGATCCCCAGTGGGGGGCGCACAGGAGGCAGCCGATCCATGATTCTCTCTCAACATGGATGTTTCTCTCTCTCCCTCTCCCTTCCTCTCTGAAGTCAATAAAAAATCTTACACACACACACACACATGCACACACACGCACATATTGCACACACGCACACACCACACACACGCATGCACACACGCGCATGTGCACACATGCACACACGCATGCACACGTGCACACGCACACACATACACACATGCCCATGAGCACACGCATGCATGCGCACACATGCACGCGCACATGCACACACGCATGCACACACATGCCCACGAGCACACGCATGCATGCGCACACATGCACACACACATGCACACACATTCATGCACACACATGCCCCCACACACGAGCACTCTCTGCGTTTCCCTCTTCCTTCCCCTGGTACGAGGGAGCCGCACTGTTGGGGTGGAGCCGCCGTGGCTCAGGCAAAGGCGCAGCAGGAGCCTCTGTGTTTATCCTCACAGGCAACTGTGACTGTTTCTTTACATTTAAACATTTGTTCCAATTACACTTTACATGTAAAATATTGGAAAATCGGGAGTTAATTTCGGGAAATCACACATGGAAAACACAGGCGCTGCGTGGGGCAGTGGGGACCTGATGCCAAGCGAGCGGGTCTGCGACCCCGACGAGCTGAGGACCCTCAGGAGGAGGGACACCCGGCGGCTCTGCGGGGCTTGCAGGTGGCGTTGGAGGCAGATCGGGAGGAGGTGACGGTCGTGTGCGTGTGGCCCAGGGCGTGGCCTGTCTGAGACGCGTTCGGTGCATGAACGTTCGTGCGGGTCGCCGGCAGGGAGACGTGCCTGGCCTGTGGTTGGGACATTCTGCCTCCGTCATCCCCTCTGACGGGAGCACCAGCTGCAGCGTTTCTCCGGGACCCTCCCAAGGCCTCGCAGCGTGGAGTGTAGTCCCCCTCATGTCACAGGGGGAGAAACTGAGGCGAGAAAGTCTGCTGTGCGGACGGGCTCCTCACGCCGGGGGTCTGGCCGGCACATCGGTCACTGCTGGGTCTTCATCCTGCGTCAGGCCGAGGGGCCCTTCGGGCCAGGCCCCCCCAGCAGCCGGGTTCGGGGCGTCTCGGAGATCGGGGCTTCTGTCAAATGGCATTCCCCATTCACATGACCGTGTGATCTCAGCATCCCTGTAATGGAAGAGAACAGGTATTTAAACATGAAAAATGAGGAACCTAACGGTTAAAGTTTCCCCCACGTTCCGCGTGGTTCAGGGTTCAGGATCTGGAAGAGGTCCGCACGCAAATGAAAGAGAAGAGACAAGAGATAATTTGGAAATATTGGGGGGCCAGGCGGGCAAGTCCAACTCAAGGGGAAGGACTTCCCCTGGTGCTCAGGCCTCACAGCTCAAGTGCCCATCAGTAGATGAGTGGATTTAAAAGGCACGGTATATTCACACCATGGAATACTATGCAGCAGTATAAAAGAAGGATTTTTTACTCTTTGAGACAGCATGGAAGACCTGGAGAGTATTGTGTTAAACAAAATAAGCCAGTGAGAAAGGTAAGTATCATATGATTTCACTCATATGTGGACTCAAATTAATAAAATTAAATGATGAACAAAACAGACCTAAAATATAGAAGCATAGAATAGACTGATGAATCTCAGAGGGAAGGCTGGGGTAGGTGGGTGGTGAGGGAGAGATTAGCTGAGAAACTTATATGCATATATGCATAGCCCATGGGCACAGACAATAGTTTGGTGAAGGCCTGGAAGTGGGGGTAGGGTGGTGGGAGTCAATGGGGGAGAGGGAAAGGGTGGAGGTGGAAATACTTTCAACAATGAAGATACATTAAAAAAAACCCGAATTCTATTAATTTTTCCATCGTAGCCTTCCGGGTTCCTTGTCCACACCTCTCTGCTAGAGAGGACAATGGATGGCTTCCCACACGAACGAACAAATAAATGGACGAACAAAAAGGATTGAGACATGGAGGCGGGAAACAGACTGTGATCTCAGAGGGGAGGGGTGGGGGAGAGAGTAACCAACGAGCTTA